TTCTTGCCGTTCTCCTGGCGGATCAGGGCAAGCTCCCTGATAAAAATTAACTAGATGAATAAATGCGCCCCTGTTTGTTCAAAATTCAGATATGGAAATGATTTCATAACATTAAACCATTGCTTGTCATTGCCTATGTTCATCTCCTTCGGTGCTGACAGTTACAAGTTATTCTCGGACTGTCGTGCGGCTGAGTGTGCAAGTCAAAGTCTACCTATTGCCCCTCTAGAACACCACCGTGTGTCCTGGAGCGGCTAGTTCTTTGTTGCTAGTGTGGCGTGCGCCGTGCAAGGACAGCGATACTTTGATTCCTTCAGTAAGTCGATCATTTTCTGCCGGCAACATGGGTGTTCCCCTCATGACTCCGTCTATCAACTCCATGCCGTGCTACATTAGCAAGTATCTGAGGAGTGAAGAAGTTATTTTTAAAGAAAAGTGCACCGCCTGAGGCTATTTGTTTTTGTGGTCGTCATGAAACGACGATGTTACAGCTTCCGAGCACGCTGGTGATGTTCGAACCAAGTTTGTTCTCTCCTGTTTGCGAGCGTTTGGACTATTACACCGTTCAGCGCTGCGTTTTGCCTAGAGGTGAGTTGACAGCGATGCTAATTTCCTAAAGGAGACTGGTTGTGTCTCTGGCACAAGGCTTTTGTTTGTTGGGTTTGTGTTTCACGTTGGCCATAGGCAACTGACGTCGATATGTTACCGCATCATGTGTCACGAGATGAGTATGTTAGAGATCTTCCATGCGTGGTACCCGCTGATCCCAGATTAGCCTTGAAGGCCCTTTGCGGGACTCAGTTAATAACGGTAGGTGGCTCCGTCATGGTGTCACAAACTGTAAATCCGTATTGGATGATCCATTGAATATAATTACTCGTCGCAGAGCCGCCTCACCACTAGGGGTATCAATGTATTTCTTCACCCTGTATAATCTGATTCGTGCTAGGACCATTTAGGAAAGTTTTTGTACAGAAGTGAAGAAGTTAATTATACACTGTGAAAAGTGGCCGTAGGATGGCTTGTGTTGGTGTTTACACCAACATTATTAGACCGCATTCACTTACCAGCGCAATGTTTATGATCAGTCGAGTTACTTATCAGAATTTGAGTCGGGGGGGTTTATTTTTCATAATCGACATCCCTCCGAACCCTGAAAGCGAGATAACTCTTGATTCTTACCTCCTGTTGTCGTTTCAGTTGTCTAATGGCGTTTTGCATTCTTGTAGTTGCTGCAAACTAGGGGGGTCGTACACAAACTCCGCGTACGCCTCTCTAGTGGCTACTTGCTGCACATAAGTTCTTTCTTTCCTAGCGCAACTTACCGGCTGATGTCCGACGTGTCGCGGGTCTATTATATCGGTGCAAGCCGTCCACGGAGAGGCGCGACTTGCAAGGCTGTAGGCTCCGTGTACAAGATTGATACCACAAACTAAGCTACTGAGCTTCAGTTGGTGCACCATTACCGTGACGACAGACAGTCCTGTGTGGCTTGGACATTCTCCGGAGCTCGCGAAGTCAGAATCACTGCAATATGTCCAACCAAAAAAGCTTCAGCTTCTTCTTCCAGTCTCTGGCGATACACAAACACCATTGGGCCTTGAGATGTTGGCCAAGCTTTAGGCGTTGTCGTCTCCCCTCTGGTAGGAGTGGCGGGGGGTAACGGTGCTTGTGCGTTGTCGAACCTTTCAAACGCACGCAGCCACCAATGCAAAGGCGTTTTATTATGCACACATTGTAATCGCGTCTGTTTGACACTGTCTCGGGATGGCCTCGTCGTGGTACATTTCCTGTCGGCGTCGTAGGGGTGGGTTATTGCGTATAATGTTTACATCGTGTCGACTTATCCCGTTGCTTTTAAATGATTCGCTCTTCCCTATATCCGGTGTCACTGAAGCCCTCTGCCGGCGCTCCACCTATTTTGTTGTGATTTTGATGTTGGCTATTGAATACATTGTGTATACAAACTTCGCTCACGTAACTCTTACCAATTGTGAGTTACACTGACACATGTAGTATGCCCATTATAACGTATTGCCCATTATAATGTATTGCCTGGGGCAATTTTGTTGTTGTTTACAGTAAGCAACATTGTTTACAAACAAAAAAAGTATGACGTTGCACATGTGGTTATCGATATGTACATTCCTACAAAATTTCATGGCTTTATCTCTTTCGGTTTTTTAGTTACGCTGGTCGAAGAAGAAGATGATGAACAAAACTCCCTATCATAGCCCCATACATCTATGATGCTAGGTACCATGTCAATCCCTATATACTAAGTACTACCGCACTTAGTGATAACAACGCAGCACTTTCAGCGTGCCTCCAATCACCGTGACTATGAAGCTCTAAAACTAAATTATTGAAAAGTGGAACCGCATAGAAAGACTTGAAGATAACGGACATAGCAGAGAGAAACGTTCACAAACCTGTAGCCGGTGGGGCATAATAAGAGGTCGTGCACTGTTCTACAGCCATTGCACACGAACTGTTAAACATTGAACTATCAACAAACTGTATACATGTCATGTCATGTACTATTCAAAGAAAATGTTTTTTTCTTTGCCAAATGACGCTGCATTGCAATAATTACAAACAAAACAAAAACAAACAACATATCCAGTATCAAGTTTAGTAGGGGAGACTGCGTCATTGCTAGGGTAATATTCCACAACTGATCGTTCTTTACGAAGATAGTACTCAACAGTTTCCAACACAGCATAGCAATAGTCACCATTTGCGTTTAGTCCGCGGTAATGCCAACGTGATCCCAGCAGAGGATCCAGCTGACGATAGTGTCGAATCTTGTAATATTGATTTCCACAAACTTGTCGTGAAGGTACACCTGATTCTTTTAGGCCACCATTAAAAAGAAGCATGTCAAATTGCATGCATATTCGAATAGAAGGTGAGGATTTCCTATTGCATGACATAGACAGTTTTATCTTTAGACGAAGATCTTTGTAGAGAGAGAAGGGCTGGTAGGGAGTTAATTCAATAGATTGTGGCTCTCCCTCGGCTTCGCCTAGGGTTTCTAGCTCACTAACATCTTTCCACTCGTCGTAAGCGCTGGAATAACCAACATAATGTACTTTCACTCAACTGTCGTTTCTTTCCGTGACGGTCACGGGGTATAGTTCGTTTGTGGCCTTGTTACGTGACCTCTTTGTAGCCGTATATCGGCAAGTTGACGGTAATCCAGGCGTCTCTTTCTCCTGTGGACCTCACTATCCACGTATCAAGAGCCAAAGCACACACAGGTCAAGAGTAGCGCAGCACAAAAGACGCACCTGTAGAAAGAACGAGAGAGAGAGCCGTGAAATGTTTCAAATTTTCTATGGTGATTATCTAATTTAACGCGCTCGCGTGCCACTCCGCTTCGTTTGACATTTCCCCACTCAATGTTTTGATATGTACATCAAGGACAGGAAGCATGACTGGTGACAGAGACAGAGTGACATGCAATAAAGGATGTTGAAGAGGAGTAGGTGGAACCAAAAGGCGGGCATTGCATAGGTGGCCCTTAGTGATAGTACAACAGAGTGTGGGCAGAAAGGATATGAGAGGAACACAGTGGAATAACTCAAAAGGTGAAATCAGACTAACATCTGAGCCAGTTATTCAGTAAGGTGAAGGACTTAGCAGACATACATTGAAATGAGGATGTACAGCAGAGGAACATTATAATTAGTGTTTGAGAGAGAGAGTGTGTGTGTGTGTGTACATTCTATGTTATAGAGATTTGTCACAGAGAAGGGTGAATGAGTGAGTTACAGTGAGGTAGTGAGCTAACTACGTTGTGTGAGAATGGTGAACTAGCAAACCTGGTAGGTGTGCTGATAGTCCGAGCATCGCCCTCTCAGCGCGCACTGATACTCAGGTGAAGACAGACAAGCAGATTGGTTTGCTCTTATCTGGGGCCTGCAGGCAGTGCAGCCAGCTTGGCCGCTCTACAGCAAAGGTCAAAGGTCGTATACTAGACGGCGCCTAGGCGAGCGGCATACGCGCATGCGCGTATATACATAGACGGCGTACGTATGCTTCCAATAAGTGTTTTTATATGGGGGGTGATTCATGCCATAATTTTGAGCCGCTATTTTTTCCAGTTTACATCGTTGACCGAAAAAATTCAAACGGCGTTTTTAACATTTTCCCAACGGTTTTTCTCGGTCAACCGAATGAAACGGCGTTATTAACATTTTCCCAACGGTTTTTCTCGGTAAACCGAATGAAACGGCGTTTTTTTACAACGGTTTTTCTCGGTCAACCGAGAACCGTTGAAAATTTCTCCCGTTTGCCGTAGGCCGTCGTGGGGGTCAAAGGTCACGTGCCGCCATGTCCGACCTCCGGTGGTGCTTTTTCAGCTTGAGGAGAGTTTTAGCCGACATACCTGTGCTTCTCGACTGACAGAGTCCGTCCAGTGATACTATTTCATCAATTCTCTACCAGCTCCAAATAGTGTACCGTGAACTAGCCGCCGCTGATGTTGTTGGCGAAGCAGATGTGTCTAGTGTGCTGAGCTTGGTTGGTGAGGCTGTAGCAGAGTTGGAGGGGTTGGAGGAGTTTTCTGGCAGAACAGCAGAATTCATGTCACCAGTGGTTCATGAGGGGGTTGTTGGGCGACCACGTTATTTCATCCCACAAGATGTGCTCCAAAATCTTCTTAGCACTGGGTTTTCTGTCCCACACATTTCGGACATCCTCTGCGTATCTATTCGAACTGTGCACAGGAGACTCTCCGAATATGGCCTGTCCGTACGGGCTACCTATTCTGTAATTAGCGATGCACAACTAGATGAGATTGTAGCCCGCGTTCAGCACGAGTTTCCTCTCTGCGGTTACCGACAAATGATTGGCCGTCTTCGAGCTCAAGGGTTACGTATCCAGCAGAGTCGTGTTAGAGAAAGTCAACGGCGCATTGACCCTGGTGGCTGCGTAATGAGGAGACTGTCAACAGTCAACCGCCGTACCTATAGAGTTAATGGGCCTCTTGCACTATGGCACATTGACGGAAATCACAAGCTCATTAGGTAACCTACAGTCTGACTTAAAGGGACTCTTTAAGCAATTTTCACACACAGGTGGAAATTTGTGATTCATGGATGTATTGATGGCCACACTCGAGTCATCACCTACCTACAGTGTGCAGACAACAACAGAGCTGACACTGTGTTCCACTGCTTTAGGGGTGCAGTTGCAGCATATGGGCTCCCTAGCCGAGTACGTTCTGACCGTGGAGGAGAGAACGTGAGAGTGGCTGAGTATATGTTGTCTCACCCAGAACGTGGACCAGAGAGGGGCAGCTTTATCACTGGTAGAAGTGTGCACAACTCCCGCATAGAACGTCTATGGCGAGATTTGTTTCAGGGCTGCACGGTGCTGTACCACAATTTGTTCTACCATTTAGAGAACGAAGGTCTACTGAACCCTGATAACCCGATTCACCTTTTTAGCTTGCACTATATATTCCTGCCAAGAATAAATTCCAGTCTAAGGTCATTTGCCCAAGCATGGAACAGACACCCAATGCAGAGTGAAGGCGGACTTTCTCCGCAGCAGTTATGGGTCTCGGGGCTGGCACACCAAGGACATCCTATTTCACAGCTGGTTAGATTGATTGGGTTCTCTTATAGAGGTTGTTTTATTGTAGCTATGTCTTATCCAGTCAGGTGATCCCCAAGAGCTCTTTGGTATTGACTGGGATGCTCCACTACCAACCCATGATGATGTTGAGCGAGTGACTGTACCTGCCATAGACTGCCCACTCTCTGCTCAAGGACTCCAGGAACTTCAGACCACCCTTCCTCTCCCCTTAACAAATGAGGACTCTGACTATGGAATTGGATATTATATGGAAGCTGTCAGATTTGTTGAGTCACATGTTGATGATCACTAGTTATGTTTCACTTTGATTTTAATCATAATTATATATACAAAATAATTAGTGATGATGGTTATATATAGTGAGAAACAAAGTATCAGCTAGCATGTCATGTGATGGTCATATAATATAGATAGGAGAAAACCACTTGCATGATGGATCAGCACAGTCCAAACCCTCCATGGTTATAAAACCCAAACATAACTTTCTCTTTGAACTCATGATAATTATCATATACTTAGTGGGAAGAGTAAAGCGTTAGGGCGCAGGTAGAAGCTGTGGGAAAATACGGCTGCTGCTAAAGTTCAGAGTACAGCCATGAAAACCAATAGGAGGTATCCGCCATTAGCTCCAGTGAAGAACGACAGACAGTCACCCAAGTGTAGAACTGGAGCAGTCTCATCTCCTTCCGCTCTGAACTCCATCTAACAATACACATGTACATGAGAAAATGTCACATGAGGTTAGTAAACCCCCAAGTAGGCAACTCACTTTCTAGTTCTTCCAAGAGGTCTCGAAATGCATATATGTGCTTGCTCCTTATGCAGCTCTGATGTCCCTGCTTCAGAAAACATACGGAACTGGAAAGCCCCATCACTCGATCTATACAAATGCCATCATACTCTTACATACAAACACTGGTAATGCTACATGTTAGACATGGTTACCAGCTGTAAGAGGATCCTCACTGTGCACAAACAATGGTTTAAACAAATCAGGATGCTTTGTCATCATTTCTAATACACCAGCATCTGAAAGGCCTAGCTTTATTTCATCAAGCTCTGCCTTTACCTGTGGGTATAATACTGACATTTAGCAATTCTTGCACTGATATATAAAGGTATTACCTGTAGTAATGTAGTGTGTAGTGCTACACACCCGATTATAAGTGGAACATCTTGCCGAACTAGTGTAGAAGTGGCTTTGTGAACCCACAGGAGATTAGAACATCAGAATGTTTCATGGCCATCTCACGAAGTTTTACGTCATCACTGGTAGCAACAATCTAACAAGTCAAGAATGACACAGGCATGCATGAATCATAATATCGCCCTACCTCGTCAAGTACGATGTCAATCTCTATATCAGGTATTTCATCTTGACCAACAGTTACAGCACGAATATCCCGGCCACAAAGGTAAGAAAAAGTGGAGGGGGCAAAAAACGGAAATCCAGATCCACCTTGCACTAATGATATACCAATAAGCATTCCCACTTTACGGAAGATACCCTCCTACAAAGAGAGAGATGGCACACACACCTACAATTATTTTTTAAGATATACCTGCAGTTTTGATGCATCATGTCTAACAACCATACGATTCTTCTTCCCCTCCAATAGGCTCTCCTCCAGATACATTCCAAAGAGGCGCCAGAGCTCACGGGTCAAACCTCCAGTATCACTGCCCGCTTCTCCAATGAAGTAGGTAGAAACCAGCTTCAATGGATGAAAGGACCGTTTTGTGGTCTCTTTCACCAATAATCATGAAACAGATGGTTACGGCGAACATTGTACTCATGGATATCAGTTCTCAATTTGCTTTGCAAAAATGTAATGATATCTTTTAAGGAATCTGGAGAACTGTGGTATGGACAACAAAAAAGAAAACGTCATACATTACTAAAAGGTTTGGTCAGTTACACTCCTTTCACTAACCCCCAATCCCCAGTGCTGGGTAACAGTTGTCGGCTAATTTATAGTGTGGTTTCTTTGGGTGTAACACTTCTAGTCAGACTGACAGTCATCATCAAACAGCAAGTTGTTGCTACATTAGGTTACTTACAACTCATTGGTTGCCTGGTCAATAAATCCAGTACTCTCCCTAACGTGCCTGTGCAATCATAGCCTCTT